TGATACCAACAACTCAAGAATCTCAAGAACATATATAAACATATTAAGACTGAACAACATGCTCCTAAGTGAATAGTGGGTCATAAAATAAACAAAAGAGAAATTTTAAAAATTCTTGAAATGGATGAAGATGACAATACCTCATATCAAAATTTATGTGATAGGGTCCGGCACTGTGGCACAGCGTGTTAAAGCCCCAGCCTACAGCGCCGGCATCCCATATGGATGCCGGTTCTAGCACCGGCTGCTCCTCTCCCAATCCAGCTCTCTGCTGTGGCCTGGGAAAGTGGTGGAAGACAGCCCAACTCCTTGGGCCCCTGCACCAGTGTGAGAGACCCAGAGGAGGCTCCTGGCTCTTGGCTTTGGATCAGCTCAGCTCTGGTGGTTGCAGTCATTTGGGGAGTGAACCAGCAGAATGGAAGATCTCTCTCTCTCTCTCTCTCTCTCTCTCTCTGTAACTCTATCTTTCCAATAAATAAAATAATTCTTTAAAAGAAAAAAAAAACTTATGGGATATAGCAAAACCAGTGTAAACAGGGATGTTTATAGCAATAGGTGCCTACATCAAGAAACTGAAAAGTCACCAAATAAATAAGCTGCCAATGCATCTCAAAGACCTAGGAAATAAAACAACCAACCAAACCTCAAATTAGTAGGAGAAAAGGAATAATTAAAACTAAGGAAGAGGGGCCAGCGCCATGGTGCACTGGGTTAATCCTCTGCCTGAGGTGCTGGCATCCCATATGGGTGCAGGGTTCTAGCCCAGGTTGCTCCTCTTCCAGTCCAGCTCTCTGCTGTGGCCTGGGAGGGCAGTGGAGGATGGCCCAAGTGCTTGGGCCCCTGCATCCACGTGGGAGACCAGGAAGAAGTACCTGGCTCCTGGCTTCGGATCAGCGCAGCACCGGCTGTAGAAGCCATTTGGGGAGTGAACCAATGCAAGGAAGAACTCTCTCTTTCTCTCTCTCTCTCTCTCTCTCTCTCGCTCTCTCCAACTCTACCTGTCAAATAAAATAAAAATCTTTTTAAAAAATTAAGAAAGAAAGAAACAAAACTGCAACAACAACAACAAAAAAAAAAAACACAAAAGATCAATGAAATGAAGAGCTGGGTTTTTCAAAAAATAAAAAAATTGACACAGCATTGGTCCAAATCAACAAAATCAGAGATGAAAAAGGAAATGTAATGATAGATATCACAGAAATGAAAAGAATCATCAGGAATTACTACAAAAAGCTATAGGCCAGCAAATCTGGAAACTGAAGAAATGGATATATTCTTGGACAAATACAACCTACTTAATCCACTATTGGTGGGATGTAAGTCATGAAGACACAACACCTAAACAGAACAACAACCAAGATAGAGATCAAATCAGTAATAAGTACCCTTACAACAAAGAAAACCCGAGGTCTTGATGGCTTCACTGTTGAATTCTACCAGACATTTAAAGAAGAACTAATTCCAATTTTTCTAAAACTATTCAAAATAATTGAAAGGGAAGGAATCCTCCCAAACTCCTTTGAAGCCTGTATTACCTTAATTACTAAGCCAGAAAAAGACTCAACAAAGAGAACTATAGACCAATATCCCTGATGAGCATAGATGCAAAAATCCTCAACAAAATATTAGCCAATCAAATCCAACAACACATCAGAAAGATGATTCACAGGACCAAGTGGAATTTATTACTGGTATGCAGGGATGGTTCAACATCCAAAAATCACATTAACCACATTCACAAGCTGAAGACCAAAAACAATATGATGATAAAATAGATGCACTTAAAGCATTTGACAAAATTCAACAACCTTTTATGATAAAAACCTTTAAAAAATTGGGTATAGAAGGAACATTCCTCAATATAATCAAAGCAATTTATAACAAACCCACAGCCAGCATCCAACTGAATGGGGAAAAATTGGAGGCATTCCCATTAAGATCCAGAACCAGACAAGCATGTCCATTCAGATCACTGCTGCTTAATATAGTGCTGAAAGTTTTAGCCAGGGCCATTAGACAAGAAAAATATATCAAAGGGATACAACTAGGGAAGGAAGAAGTCAAACTATCCCTACTTGCTGCTGATGATTCTATATATAGGCAACCCAAAAGACTCCATGAAGAGAGTACTGGAACTCATAAAAGTGTTTGGTAAAGCAGCAGGGTATAAAATCAACACACAAAAATCAATAGCCTTGGTATACACAGACAATGCTATAGCAGAGAAAGAACTTCTAAGATCAATCCCATTTACAATAGCTATAAAAATATAAATACCTTGGAATAAATTTAACCAAGGATCGCTTCTTGGCCTTTTGCTATGATCAAGTGTAACCAAGGATGTCAAAGATCTCTACAATGAAAATTACAAAACATTAAAGAAAGAAATAGAAAAAGACATAAAAAAGTAGAAAAATCTTCCATGTTCATGTATTGGAAGAATCAACATCTTCAAAAGGTCCATATTACTACTGAAATAAATTTATAGATTCAATGTGATACTAATCAAAATACTAACAACATTATTCTCAGATATAGAAAAAATGATGCTAAAATTCATGTGGAAACACAAGAGACCCCAAGTAGCTAAAGCTATCTTAAGCAACAAAAATAAGGATGGAGGCATCAGAATACCAGTCCTCAAGACATACTACAGGACAGTTATAATCAAAACAGCCTGTTACTGACACAGAAACAGATGTGAATACTAATGGAGCAGAATAGAAACTCCAGAAATAAATCCATGCATCTACAACCAACTTATATTTGACAAAGGAGCAAAAATCAACTCCTGGAGCCAAGACAGTCTCTTCAACAAATGGTGCTGGGAAAACTGGATCTCCACATGCAGAACTATGAAACAAGACCCCTACCTCACACTTTACACAAAAATCCACTCAAAATGGATCACAGACCTAAATCTATAATATGATACCATCAAATTGCTAGAGAACATTAGAGAAACCCTACAAGACATTCGCATAGCAAAAGACTTCTTGAGAAATACCGCAAAAGCACAGGCAATCAAAGCCAAAATTAACAAATGGGATCACATCAAACTGAGAAGCTTCTGCACTGCAAAAGAAACACTCAGCAAAGTGGGGAGGCAACCAACAGTATGGGAGAAAATATTTGCAAACAATGCAACTGGCAAAGGATTAACTTCCAGAATCTATAAAGAGCTCAAGAAACTCAACAACAACAAAACAAACAATCCAATTAAGAAATGGGCAAAGGACATGAACAGACATTTTTTCAAGAGAGGAAATTCAAATGGCCAATAGACACATGACAAAATGCTCAGGATCACTAGCCATCAGGAAAATGTAAATCAAAACCACCATTAGGTGTCACCTTGCCCCTATTAGAATGGCTCTCATACAGAAATCAACAAATAATAAATGCTGGCAAGGATGTGGGGAGAAAGGAATCATAATCCACTACTGGTGGGGATGTAAAATGGTATAGCCACTGTGGAAGAGAGTATGAAGATATCTCAGAAAGTTGAATATAGATCTATAATATGACCCAGCCATCCCACTCCTGGGAATTTATCCAAAGGAAAAATAATCAACATATGAAAGAGTTATCTGTATCCCCATGTTCATCTCAGCTTAATTTACAATAGTTAACATATGGAATTAACCTAGATGTCCATCAACAGAAGACTGGATAAAGAAATTATGGTATATATACACTGTGGAATACTACGGAGTGGTTAAAAAAATCCTGTCATTTGCAACAAAATGGAAGCAACTGGAAACCCTTATACTTAGTGAAATAAACCAGTCACAAAAATACAAATACTATATGTTCTCTCTGATCTGTGGTAACTAATAGAGTACTTAAAATGTAATCTATAGGAGTGAAACTGACACTTTGAGATGTGATGATTTTGAACAGCATTTGCCTTGACTGTCAGGGAACAATGTTTTTCTTGTTTGTTTATTTTTGTTCCTTACTTCTTTTTTTTTCTTCATGCTAATGGGTGAGCTCTCTACTTAGTGTGGGATTAATCTTGTGAGCATAAAAATTAACTGAAAAGTGATCTCTGTAAAAAATAAGAATGGGAAAATAAGAGGGAGGAGGAAGAAAGGCACGAGTATGAGTGGGAGGGAGTAGGGGGGTAAGAAGCACCATGTTCCCAAATCTGTATATTAAATGCATGAAGTTGTATTCCTTAAACAAAATAAATTTAATAAAAGAATTTATAAGATTAAAAAAATGAAGCTATTTCAAATAGTTCATGGGGAAAAACAGAATTAAAAATGCATTTATTTTGATAGAAAAAAATTTTAATCCATGCACATTCTAATAATACACATTTTCCATGAACTTTTTGAAGTCCCTGCATGTGACCTAAATACCTACAACTATTTATACTGTACAGTACAATTTAATCATAGTCATGTCCTTCCATTTGCCAACAATCATCACCACCAACTCTACTGACCAAATGCACTAGCATATTATAGCTGTATGTACAAAATTGTACAACACAGAACCAACATAAAGTCAGAACTCTTGATACTCCAAAAAGAGCATTTCCCTACCAAGCAAATTTTATAAGCATACTGAAAATACACTTACTCAACATAAAAACACACAAGAAGACATTCTCCATACTCAATTAGGAAGTTTATTAGGTTCCTAATTTCCATGTCTAGAACTTGAACATGGATTTACATGCATGGCCTCATTTTGTGGATCTTACATGCATGTAGTCTTCTGCCAGCTGGACCTTTGACTCTACTTGTCAGTAGTTTGTAGTTAGCTCAATGTGAGTAAATGACAAACAAAGAATGACATATAAGCCATAGCAACAAATCCCACCCAATAGCATGTACAATTTTTTCCCCAAAAACCATTATCACAACTCTCTCCTGTAAAAAATAAATTTCAGCACAAGGCATTTAATTGACTTCACTGAGAAAAATAAAGATAACTCTATCAGTTTAGAATTCAGCAATGAATGTCCAACTATGGCTGAAAGGTACACCCTGAGAATTAAATGATTTTAACGAACCTATTAAGGTTTATAAAGCTGTGTTAACCTAATGTCGGGAAGGGACACAAGATACAGGCACAAACATCCCTGCTCATTTTGCTGTGCAATTCTCCAAGGATGCAGTGTTATAAACGTCCTCATTGTCTTCGATGCTCGATGCATCTGTGGAGTCAGGATCGCTCACCACAATGCCCACAGAAGACAAACTGGTGATGAAGGCGTGCACCCGCTGTGCATAAAGATCCCTAATGTTAAAGTAAGGTAGCTCAGGACACTTCTCTGGTGGGTCCTCACTGCACTGGTCTACATCAATGTCCTTTTGCTTCTGGTAGTACTTGGAAAACTTGTTGAAGATGATGGTGATAGGCAGGGCCACCACCAAGATGCCACAGATGATGCACGTGCTGGCAATGAGCTTCCCGGCCAAGGTGACCGGGTGGGTGTCTCCATAGCCAACGGTAGTCATGCTGATAGTAGCCCACCACCAGCAAATGGGGATGCTGGTGAGGCTGGATGTGTGGTCATCTTTCTCCACGGAGTAGATGAGCACAGAGAAGATGGAGATGCCCACAGACAGGAAGAGAAGCAGCAGCCCAACTTCATGGTAGCTATGTCTCAGCGTGGCCCCTAGAGACCGAAGTCCTACAGAGTGCCGGGCAAGCTTTAGAATTCGGAAAATTCGCATGAGCCTAAGGATCTGGACCACTTTGCCCATGTTCTCAATGTCTTCGCTCTCTTCCTCCTTGGTGTCTACTGCCAACGTGGCATAGAAGGGAATAATGGAGACAAAGTCTATTATGTTCAGAGGATTCTTCCAGAATTTTTTTTGACAGGGAGCAGCGACCAGCCGGACAGCAAGCTCCCCAGTGAACCAAGCGATACATGCAATCTCCACACCTTCCAGCACTGGGTCATCCACCTCTCCATCCTCATTCTGAAACTCTGACATGCTGTGGACACACATGGCCACGATGGAGGCCAGCACCACACTCAAGGAGGAGATGGCGATCAGCTTGGCAGACAGGCAGTAGGCTGGGTTCTCCATCCGAATCCAGATTTTCTTCCGGAGCTGACCAAATCGCAGCTGGTCAAACTTCTCCAGCTCTTTCTCAAACACAGAGGATTCTTCAAAGGAGGTGTCGGTACTCACGTCATTGCTTTTCTGGTCCCAGTCCTTCTCATGGTTCTCCTCCTTGCGTTCTTGGTAACGGTTGCTGCAGCAGGAGTCAATGAAGAGCTCATTGATGCCCCAGTACTCAATCTCCTGACAGAAGGAGAACACACACAGCTCCTCCATGACATGCAGCTTCCCTGTGTAATAAAAATTCAAAACGTATCTGAACAGGGAAGGGTTCCGATCAAAATAGTACTCTTTATCAGCCACACTGTAATCATCACACAGCTCCAAGATGGCCTCTTCGGAGTGGCAGGTGAGCAGCTTCCCTAGGCGAGTATGAGGGAAGCGCAGGAGGGTGCTCTGGTCAACAGACTGCTTAAAGCCCCCCACGTTCAAGTTGACAAGTTCCTCGTCTGGTCCAGGGCGATGGAAAAACTCACCAAACACCATGGTGGGTCCGGGAGGCAGAGTACTGGCTGGGATGGGACCCGAGAAAGTTCACACTGCACCTGCAAGCAGCACAAGATGGTATTAGCACTCTGTGCCTTCATGCTGGGCCAAGCTTATTTTTATTCTGCCCTTTCCAGGGTGATGGGCTACAGGAAAAGAAAGTAGGAAATGCCATAAATATGAATGCACTATTACACATTTTGATGAGAAGAAAATCAACACGAAATGGGTTTAAAAATAACTTGGGCTTGTGTATCTGTTTTAGGAAGGATTGCAATATAATATTTATGATCTCTAAATTACTTTTTCTCTATTTATTAAGCATCTAAAATTTATCTCCCACCCTTCCACTGCCCTCTAAAACCATACATTTTGGGTCACTTACACAACATAAGCATCTCCACAGTCTCGGCTACAAGACTCTCCCCGTGTGGGATGCTCAGCTCAGACCTAAGACACTAGGAGCTCCCACCGTGCCGCTCAGCCCTCCCTGTCCCCAGGGTTAGCCATGTACCCTCAGAAACAGCTCTCTCCTCTACCCTGTGTATCACTCCCAATCCGCACACCACGAGGCTCAGATCACCACTCACACAGGATGTGGGCTTCCCCTCTGCGCCAATGAATTACTCCTTAAAGGGAAAGCTCTGTTCTCTGTTTGGACAGGGACAGCCCAGATGCTATAATTATCCCCTAGTCCTTAAGTACCCTATATCTTAAAGATAGCATTACACTCAAGGGATGGTGTTTCAGGTACATGGCCTCAAAAAGAAACTGACTTAGGAAAGCCTTTTTAAGTTGATTGCATTATCAGATTCCCGACATCAACGCACTCCTCTCCCATCTCCCCCCTCCCTTCACGGTCTCCGGCATAGCCCTCTCTCTGATTATCTCTCCAAGGATAGTCTGTACAGTTAACCACACAGGCTGTTTTAGCTCCAACACTAACCAGGATGTGCCAGATCCATTTCTCAGAGTGAGAGGAACAGGATTTGACCATCACCAATACAGTGATGCTTCCTCAGAGCAGAAGGTCCAGATAAAAGAGGAGGCTTTCATATACGGAGTCCCCACCGCATACTATTAGAATGCCTTGCTCACATTATGTCATTTAATCCCTCCAAAACTGTAAGGCAGACACACAGAAAAAGATACTCAGAGGGGATGTGTCCAAGAACACACAATAGGCAAAGGCCAGAGCCAAGATTTATTTTTTTATTTTTATTTTATTTTTTTATTTTTTGACAGGCAGAGTGGACAGTGAGAAAGAGAGACAGAGAGAAAGGTCTTCCTTTTGCCATTGGTTCACCCTCCAATGGCCGCCGCGGCCGGCGCGCTGCGGCCGGCGCACTGCGCTGATCCGATGGCAGGAGACAGGAGCCAGGTGCTTTTCCTGGTCTCCCATGGGGTGCAGGGCCCAAGCACTTGGGCCATCCTCCACTGCACTCCCTGGCCACAGCAGAGAGCTGGCCTGGAAGAGGGGCAACCGGGACAGAATCTGGCGCCCCAACCGGGACTAGAACCCGGTGTGCCGGCGCCGCTAGGCGGAGGATTAGCCTAGTGAGCCGGGGCACCGGCCCCAGAGCCAAGATTTAAACTCAGGTGAATTAACTCCACAGCCTGTGTTCTCTGCACTACATACATTCTCCCCACACTTCTTCTTTCCCTTACTGTGATGCAATCATCCAAGGTGGGAATGGCTATTCTATGTGTCAATTTAGCACCTTTGGGATTATTGAGAAAAGAGGAGCATGGTGACAGGCAAGGCCACTAAAGGGTCTTAATCAACAAGACAAGCCTTTTAAAAAGGCTCCATTGAGGGGGCCAGCACCGTGGTGTACTAGGTTATTCCTCTACCTGCGGCGACGGCATCCCATATGGGTGCCGGGTTCTAGTCCCATTTGCTCCTCTTCCAGTCCTGCTCTCTGCTGTGGCCTGGGAAGGCAGTGGAGGATGGCCCAGGTGCTTGAGGCCCTGCACCCGCATGGAAGACCAGGAAGAAGCACCTGTCTCCTGGCTTCGGATCGGCGCAGCGCCAGCTGTAGAAGCCATTTGGGGGGTGAACCTATGGAAGAAAGACCTTTCTCTCTGTCTCTCTCTCTCTCTCACTGTCTAACTCTACCTGTCAAATAAAAAAAAAAAGAAAGGCTCCATTGCAACTTGCTCTTCCGTCCTCCCACCATGTAATGGCATAGCCTGAAGCCCTTGCCACACTCCCAGCTTCCAGAACCATAAGCAAAACAGACTTCTTTCCTTTCTCAATTACCAAAGAAAAGACAGACAGAAAAACCACACTGATAGCAGGGGGAATGGGTGGATCTCAGGAGGGAAAGACCAGGGCCAAGGAAACAGGACTGCAATACAACATGCCAGAGGAGGCAAGGACCCAAACTCACAGAGCCATTGTGTGTGTAAAGAGGAAGTGACAAACTCAAGAGAAATTGATAAAGTTGATAGGACTTGGTGACTGATTGGAAAGAAAGGATAGGACATAGAAAATCCAGAGGAGAAGGCATTTCCTTGCCTGCATGAGTGGATGGGCAGTAACATATTTTTTTCCCTTTATGCCTATAGAAAGTAAGACTTTTTTTTCCCTTTATGCCTATGAAAAGCCAAGGCCATCAGCAAGAAAAGATGCCCCCTCTGAAAAGGACACACAAGAGGTCACAGCCTTAAAATACAGTCTACCGCCTTGCACCCCAGGAGGAAATCTATAGCCATAAAGAATACAGAACATTTGCTCTTGAGACATCAAAACTGAATGTGCCATGTCCCATGAAACCAGAGACTATAGCATAGCTTGATGTACCATTTAACAGACTAGCTGATCTCTTCAAAGGACTTGATTTTCCGCCTCTGCTTTCTATTTTTAGCTTGATATCTTCTCGGAAGATCCTCAATCAGAGCTCTCACTTGGTCCAAATATTTGTGGTACTCCAGATCTCTGAAAGCAAGCGCATGCTCATGGCAAACAGAGTAGGAAAATGTTCCAAGGAACGAGTTTAGCTAAGCTTGTGTTGAGACTTTAATGGAAGTTATCCTCTGGTGGATTATTGTTGATCTCCATGGCAAGGCTGGAAACCCACAGTGATAAAAAGTCAGCATCTGTCTCCGTGAGTCCATCTGCAGATGACATCACACCATCACAGGGTGTGTGATCCGTCTCCCAGTCTCTCAGCAGTAACTTTCACGTAGAACACTGTTAACCATGTTACTACCCATCTCATCAGTCCTCCCACTCTGCCACCCTGCATTTTATTCACTCTGCATCAGTGAAAGGCAGCCTGTTATGAGGTGTAACAAAGTGTAATCATAAAAGCAACACATAAGACTGGGCTTCTTGCTGTGGGGCCTGCAGAAGAGAGAAAAAGAAAGCATCCCTGTCTGAATCAAATCCAATGCGCCCTCTCAGATTCATCAAGTCACTGTGGCCAGCATCTCAGCACTGGTTTCCTGGCTGTGTCTGCCCCACAGCAGCCAGCTGGGCGTTAGGGAGAAAGGAGCTCCCACCTTTATAAACTGCAGGAAGCATTTCTGTATGCAGCTAGTCCCTGCCAATTGCAAAACTCCCTATCCCATTTGCTCCTCACTCCTACCCTGCTTGGCAGATGAGGGAGCAGGATTAGAAGGGATGAGTGGGCATCATTCAGCTACAAAGGTTGGAGACCAGGGCTCCTTATGCCAAGCTCAGGACTCTCCACTCCACAGCATTCCTCAGCTGACCTATGCAAAATCACATAAAGGAAGCAATATACTGAACATCATTATTTCCAAGATTAAGCATTTATTCAACAGATTTCCATTTACTCCTTTCAGAAAACATTTACTGGATCAAAGACATACCTACATATGCTTATATATTTATAGTTTATACATTCAGGAGTATGTAGAAACATACTCAGAAATGTTCATGGAGGGACAGGCTTTTGAAACAGTGTAGTTAAGATGACATTTGGGACACCCACATCCCATATTGGAGTACCTGCATTCAAGTCCCAGCTTCCTACTAATGCACATCTTGGGAGGCGGCAGGTGATGGCTCAAGTACTTGAGTCCCTGTCACCCATGTGGGAGATCTTGATGGAGTTCTAGGCTCCTCGTTTCAGCTTGGTACAGCCCTGGCTATTGTAGATATTTGGGGAGTGAACCAGCAGAGGGGATAGCTATCCTTCCCTCAACCAGCTTTCAAAAAATACATTTTTTTAAGATTTATTTATTTATTTGAAAGTCAGAATTACACACAGAGAGAGAAGGAGAGGCAGAGAAAGAGGTCTTCCATCCACTGGTTCATTCCCCAATTGACCGCAACAGCCAGAGCTGTGCTGATTCAAAGCCAGGAGCCAGGAGATTTTTTTCAGGTCTCCCATGTGGGTGCAGGGGCCCAAGGACTTGGGCCATCTTCTACTGCTTTCTCAGGCCATAGCAGAGAGCTGGATCAGAAGAGGAGCAGCCAGGACTCGAACTGGTGCCCATATGGGATGTCAGCACTGCAGGTGGCAGCTTTACACACTACGCCACTGTGCCAACCCCCAAAAAATACATTTTTAAAAAAATTTAAATGTTCATAGAAAATGAAATTAAAAAATAAAGCTTATTTTAGTATAAAAAATTTGAAATTGATGCATAATTTTTTCATATTTTTCATGAACTCTTTGAAGCCCAGAAGAGAAAAATGACTATCATGTATTTTGCATGGATTTAAAATTTTTTCACATCAAAATAAAATTTTAATTCCACTTTTCCATGAACTGTTTGAAGTACTCTCATATATATTTATGGCAGTGATTTCCAGGATATTTTAGCCAAGCAGGAGAAAAGTAGCAAATTGGAGGACACTGTCTAGAGCATGCTATTTATATAAGGGTTAATTCTGACTATACACACATATACATACAAGTATATGTATGTATATGCATGAGTACTCATCTAGGTATGTATATTTGCTCATATACATAAAAAGAAATGGTGGAAAGCTAAATAAAAATCTATTAAAATGCTTTCCA